CAAAATTAAAAACCAAGTCATTTTATTGGGGGCAGAGGTATAAAATACTTTTATAGTTAGTATTTTTAATATTTAACTTACATTAATATTTATTTGTATAAAAAAATTAATTTTTAACAAATATTTAATAAGAAGAGAAAGCGGGCGATAAAATTCTACATTTACATATATCCGACAGCATTTGCACTTCAATTTTACCTTTCCAGAATAGTTAGTTCAATTAAAAAGTGTGCAATCTAGCTACTTCAGCTCCTTGTTCAGAAAAAAAATTATGAACTCTGATCAATTAGTCTGGCTCATTCAGAAAAATAGAGTACTTATTTAGAGCAGGGATAATAAAGGAATGATCCAAAATATTTAAATTCAATTGGGTCAAAATAATTTTACTACTAAACACAAATACTACAAAGAACATTACATATTTAATAAATTAAATTGATACATTTTGTATTTAAAATAAATTATAACAAAATATTAAAAGATTTTTAAAAATTAATAAATATATAATAAATTTTCTTTAATTTAAATAAAAAACCTAAAGTAAATTTAAAATGCGGGAGTCGGAGTCGACACATTTTTTCCTACTCCGACTCCTCTGGCCAGAAATTCCTCCCGACTCCACAGCCCTGATTAAGAGAGCCTTCTCCGCGATCGTTACGAGTTTTGTCAGGTCCTAGATAGGCTGTCGAGTGGTAAGAGAAGAGACTGGACATAACCAGATCGACCCACTTGCAAAAATGTCTAAGGCTCCGACCCGGAGCCAGTTGACGCTTTCATCTGCAAGATTATTTGAATATTTCGTACTGTGGACTAAATGGTACTAAAAACCCGAAGATGGTCACTAAAGACAATTGAAAATGTGCATGTTTATACTAATCCCATCCAGTTCTTGCTGTTACTCCTGGTTTTTCACATAGCAGATTAAACTGATGTGCTCTAATCCGATCTTGTCCAAAGTATTTAGAATTAAACTGTGGAACCGTATGTGACTTGGACTCCCGGGAAGGAGATTTAATTTATGACATTTTTTGAAATCGTGTTTCCTTTTAATATTCATCGGGACAATATTTTAATTGATATTTTATACAATTATTTAAATCATTTTTAATTTAGTTCATTGCCACACCTAAATTTTTTGACTCTTTCTGTCTTATGGGCACCGAGAAGGTCTTTTTATGGGAGTGTTGTGGGTTTGGCCAGGTCTGCAATGTGGCAGCCAGATAGAAAGGGATAGGACTCAATGCATCCGGAACAGACTGCCTTGAAAAATTCCCAGGAGTTTTTTTGACCTGCTCAGATTTAATGCCAAGCCCCAGACCAATAGGATGCTACCTCTGCACTCCAACTAGCTAAATTTAATGGCATACGTATTCACATCATTTAATCATTTAAATTTTAAGTTTAATTCAATTTCTGCTCGTTAATTCTTTAATTTTACTAAATTTAAGAAGCAGATATAAAGTAAATAATAAAATTCATTAAGATATTCATATTACATAATAAACTGACCAATAATTAATTTTTTCATAAGTATTTGTACATTTTATGGGCCACGTCGATCCCCTTCCTTCCCTTCTTTAATTACGCACACAATAGTTCTTTAATTACACACAGACTCCGACACTGAAGAAATGACCCCTTCCTTAAACTGTATAAGTAATTAACGGCCCCCTATACAAATATGATTTGTAAAATTAATCCAAAACGAATTTGGAAATATAAGTTGTTCAAAATCTAAAATCATAATGTTATCATATTCATCGAGACGGTCACGTAAACACGACACTTCAGCAGTACCTATGCAACAAAATGCCCGATTGGAATCGGGATGTGGCTGCTAAAAAAGCCATCTTATCACATTTATATGCACATCTAAAAGCAACTCAACTGTCTCCCATTTTAATTACCTGCTGCATAAATTGCATTTACCACTCAACAACAAGAATTAACGAGCAAAAACAATTGACAGTTTGTCCAAGTTTCCTACTCAAAAAAAACAAGTAGGTTTTGATTACACGATATGCATTTAATATTGCTATTTTCAATAGTGTGATGTAAAACATTGTAATTACTGTACAATGTTTCTAGACTTAAATGTGACAGTTAAAATTAGACATTTGCAGAAGAGAAGATTACTTTTTTGTAAGAATTATATTTAGTTCATTATTTTCTTAAAGTTTTACCAACAGATGGTACTACATGTAAAGGGTATACAAAGGGGGTGCAAAGGTATACAGTTGAGAATCTGAGAAATACAAATGTTTGGTGTTCATTATTGTTATGTTTATTATCTTTTATTAGTTTGTATTCCTTATTTCTGATTTAATTTGTACATAAAAATAAATGTTTTATCTTCCTATTTTCTCCCTGTGTGTTTTTTCCCCATAATAACAACTACATACCTACTTTTGCACCCCCATATATATAAAAAAAAAAAAAATTCTAAAATCTACAGCAAATTTAGATTGTTATAAACATACAGAAACTTTTTTTTCTAATTCGAAAATTCATTAAACAGTCTTCTGTGTCATCTATAAGAACTTAAAAAAAACAATGTGATTACACGATAAACACGGTCTTCCAAAACAAATGTTACCGATTTAAATTACTTCAGTTATGTTACATACATTTTACTTTATCGATTTGTGTATGTTACGCAACATACACCAATCAGAGCTAGAGTAATTATCAGAGTTTTGTCTCCTGTCTGCATTCAAGCATCTTGTTGTCTACCACCTCTGGGATGTGCCATAAATGAAAATGGCAATATACAATAGTGTTTTGTGTTCTGCGGATTGCAAAGTTGGAGTAGTCATTGTGCAACACGAGTAATCTGCAGGAGCTATAGAGTTGTGGCTGCCATGGGAGGAGTGACAACAGACATATCGTAGCGAGCAAAGGAAGAATTTGAGTATCGGCTGAATGTGTGCCATGTGACAGGAGGTGCACGCATTGAAAAATTAAATTAGCAATTGTGAAACTTAGACAAATTTTCAATGTTTATGTGTACATTAACACAATTAGAATAATTTAAAATGGTAGTATTCATTTGGAAGACCCAGTATTATTTATTTATTTAAAAATTTAAATAATCCTAAAGAAATACAGGCTTACTTTTGCTGTTTTTTGAATAAATCTTGAACCGTCAGGATGCTTTAAAAGTTCGGCGATACTTAAATAACGAAGATCCGATTTGTTTTCTTCCGAAGTATCCGTTTTCTTTTTGTTTCGTCGCTTTTTCTTCTTTTTCTGCTTATTACAAATATTAGGTTCCTGATTTTTAACTTCAACCAAAGAAATAATATTTTGTTCTTGTTTATTATTTGTAATCTCAGAATTTGTATTGTCGTTAACCAAAGAGTTCGTTCTACATTTTTCACTAACAGTTTCGTCATTAGGCACGTGATTATTAAAAACTGTTCCTAAAGAATTTGAACTATTACTATAATCAAAACTACAGATATCTTGTTTAATTTCATTACAGTTAGTTGGGTCTGTGGAAGCTCCTGTCTGTATATATGCCTCAGTGTTACAATTAAAAGCGTTAAAATCATTTTCCCTTTCTAAACTGTCTTCGACATTCGAAGCAATTCCCGCTTGAGTGATAAAATCCTCTTCGTTGTTATTTACTTCATTTTGTAAACATTCCATAAACCTAGAATCTTCCTGTACCTGATCCAGATGATAGCTGCATGTACTCTCTCCACTGACCGACTGAGAAAATTCGTCGCCACTAAGTTCCTCCGGTGCGACCACAATTCTTCCATTATTGATCATAGCGATGTCCTCGTCGGTTACTTTATTCGCGGTATAAGGTATCTCAAATTCGCTACATTCATAATTCTGAATATCATCGGGAATTAAAAATAAATTGTCACTCGTAGGACCCGTCCAGGGTTGATCTGTTTTGTCATTTTTACTATCAAAGTTTGATTCTTTGTGCAGTCTGCAGTTGCTCTTAATTTCTTCACACTGAGTTTTATATACAGGATTGATTAGTGAGGTAGAAGAAAAATCTTCTTTCGGATGAGGGATGTAGTCATCGGAATTACTTTTGGGAACGTTTTCAGTTTCAAGAGAGTACTTATTTTTTTTAGTATTTTTGTTTATACGTTTTTTCTTCTTTCTAAAGTTTTCTCCTTCGTCTAATTTGTTATTTAACTTATCGCTTGAATTAAAAAGTGTATTTGAAAATTTTTTATTTCTATCTTTAAAAGGACTTTTATTCTGCTTATTATTAGAATTATTATGATTAAAATTTATTATTTTACAACTCTGTTGTTTCTGATAGTCCCCAAGATCTTCCCGAAGTATCTAAAATGATAAGTGGAACAGAAAATAAGATTTTGTAAACCGGAAACTAAATTTCAATCTTAAACATTACTCACTTTCCAATCTTTAGGAAGTTTCAGCTGGACAACAACTACATCCCCGTTTAATGCACGATTTCTATCAAGTATGCCTCCAATGTAAATGTCCATCTGACCGTCCTGAAAGATAAATTAATATAAAATTTAATGCATTAATGAACAGATTTTCATATAATTTAAACAAAAAACTAAGGTTTAATCACTACATAAATATGTTATAGTTAAAACAATTATTTGGTGTTCGTAATGTAACAATTATTATTTGCAATGCAGAAGCCTTTAAATGGTGGAAAAAATGGCCATTCTTCGATCCAAACTGACATTGAAACATTTAATAAGATTGTTATAATATTCAAAATATAATCTTGAAAACTATTTGTAGACATTTACTCTAAGAAAGAGTGAGAGAGATTAGAGTTCAAAGAGAATAAACAGATGAAAACAAAGTAAATAATCGTAAATTCTTATCTCTTCAGAGCTCTAAAAACACATTTGCTTTGCCGGAAAAGACGCTTCACATGACTTTTGTTGCCATAATCAAGAATAATCTGATCAAAAAATAGATTTCATAATCATAAAATTAATAGTCATAAAGTGTGCACTGCATTGTATATCTGAATTGAACATTGTAAACATATAATGCATTCAATAGATCTAATGCATTTACAGATTTATATACAGTTTTGGATAAGTATCTGACAAACCAAGACTGTAATCATCCTTATTATCTTCCAATGATTGATTTCAACATGTAACAAATCTGTACATCTGACAATTTTTAGTGTACTTTCTATAAACTGTTTGTATTAAAAATAACCATATATATAAAAAATATTCATTAAATTAGAATAAATGATAAATATCTCCACTTTTCGTCCTTTTAAAGACCTTGATAACCCAACAGTCTTTATGGCAGAGTCGACATTTTATTCAAGGCCACTCATCCACCTCCACAGGCAATTTTTATTGGTTACGACGGAGTCTACTATGGTACATTTAGCAAATCTCGGCCAGGCTGCCATAACGTGCATTAGCGAAGAAGAGTCTGGGTTAGTGCACGAAGAGTAAAAAGTTAAAAATTTAATGGATTATGAAGCGCATTGCAGGTTGCCTGTACAAACACCCTATAAATATTCTAGAGTCCATCTTGGGTAATGCGTGGCTCTAGATAAAGATTCTGTACTGTATGTTACCAAAAAAGAACTAAATATTTATTCTGTACAAATAAAAATTTTAGACTACCTAGCCATAAACAAAACAGATTATAGAACAATACTAAAAATAAACAATTTAAACTGATGGTGACCAAACTATGGCCTCCAAGTCAATCTGACCTGCAAATATACTCAACATGTTGCTTATGACAGAAATAGGCCTACTTTTTTGTATACATGAAATGTAAAGAATACTTGTGGCCTATCATGTACAACTTATGCGCAATTAACCTTGAAAACTGAAAAGTTCGGACACTGCTTACTTAAACCAATGGTATTTATTTAAAGAGCCAAGATTTTTTACCTCCTTAATCAATTACCTTTGGGTCAAAAACAGATTTCTTAACTAAGAATGTTACATTCCAAAACACATGGCATTTAACAAACTGCCAAGTGTTTGTTTTGAAATGTTATGCGTTCCGGAATATAGCATTCATAGTTTAGAACTTTGCTTCGGAACCTGAAAATGTCAGTTTTTCTTAAAAATAAATCTGACAATTTAAACGGTTTATTTTTAATATTAGACTAAATAATCAGGCAATTATATTATTATTATTATTATATATAACTACTAAAATGAATGGAGAATTTACTTATTTAAATACGAGGATCAGTCAGTACCGAGTGAGACTCCGTGGACATTTCCCGAGTGAATATGATTGAGATGTTAAAATTTCACATTTTAATTCGTTGAACTTAGTTCCCCTAATGATCATGGAATGTTAAAAGGCAGTGAGTGCGTGGGTATTATGGAAATAGGATTATGTCAATCATACATGCGAGACAATGGAAAGTGACTGGCAAAGGTAAATGGGATGATTCCCAAGGAAAGACAGTACAGCTGCCTTCAACATTCATGAGAGATTTATTGTGTTGTGTTGTAACAACAATGAATTGCATGGTTACAGTAAGAGTGGTCTCAAATTTGTCCTGAAAACAGAAACAGAGGAATCAGTCCAAAATGCCTGCAAACTGGATAGAACGCTGTCAGCTCTTGAATGTGTAAATAGCATTGTCGTGGCTAATGCACTCCTTAGTTGCAAAATACAGCAGAGATAAAGAAGAAAACGGGCCAACCACATCCTGCTTTTCCACAACAATATCAGACCCTATAAAAGGCAACCACATGATAGCACATCCAAAATCTCTACCCACCATGCATATTCTTCCGTCTCGGTCCCATCTGATTACTCTCTACAGCAAATTTAAGCAAGGAAAAACTCTGTGGACAAAATATTTCTACAAGCAACAAGCTACAGAATGTTGCCCACATGCACGTTCAACATACCCCAAGGGAAGGTTTTCTGCTGCCATTTACAGGCTACCAGAGTGCTGGAAACAGGATACAGACTTAGGAGAGAGCATGTGGCATAATTTCACGCCTGCTGTCATTGGCAACCTCGGTATGCAGGTTAGTCTCAATCACTTCTGACCAACCCTCAAAAAACATGTTTTCGAACCACTTATTACAAAAGCTAAGTGTTAAAATAGTGTAACATATTGACTTTTATTCTAGATATTTTTCAAATGTTATTAACTAAAATTTTAAAAATACAATAGATCATTTGACAAGTAAACTTTCATCCAAACATTTTTCACATACATTTATTTCTTTCAGAAATAATTTATTTTTAAATTGTTAATATTTAATAGTTTTACTACACATTAAAGAACGTATTTCACGTTAATACAGATGGTTAGATGAAATAGCTCAAAGATTATAAAAGATTCAATAGTTAGTTTATTATTTTTCAAAAGAAAAAAAAATTATATAAGAGAATAACAAAACAAAATTAAATAAAAAAATTTTTTGAGCAAAAGCATTTAATGGTGTTATTTATAAAAATTATCGTTTCCTAATGAATTAATTATCTGTGTTTTGTAATATCAACAAGCGGCTTTTATATTTACCGTAGCATCCATTTATTGTTTAGAAACCCATTGCCAAATTATTGATAAGTAATGAACTTTATGCATACTTATTTATTTAAACATTGATTTTAGTTAATATAATTTAGTTGAAAGTTACAATAAAAGGACATACGTACATACACGAGGCACATAAAGAAAGAACTTATCAGATATAAAAAGAACTTTGTAAAATAAGTTTATTACAAAATGATATCACATATATTATACTACTATTCTATATAGTTACAAAATGAATTTAGACACTTGTCCTATTGTGGCACCAGGTTTTGTAGATGTTTGTGTTGTTAAGGTACAGCAACACAACACTTGGGCAATCTGCCTAGGGAGATGCCTTCTGGGAGGTCTTTTTAAAGGTAACTGGTCCCTATTCAGACATTACAGACAAAGAAAATCCGGAAATTTCCATGTGGCTAGCCTGTCCTGACAAGGTGTGAACCCATGACCAAACTCCCAGTGTTCAGGGAACAAAACCGTTTGGCCTCTGGTGGGCCTCCTTTCTCATAGAAATTTGCTGCCAAATCTTTCGGCCACTCTCACATGACAGACGTATTTTGTCTCTCGACAACTACCTAGATGTTGGTTGCCCGAAAATCTCCGAGTGAAAAAATACATGATAATCACTAGGGGCAAGAGTGGAACTACATGGAGAGTGCTCAAACATTTCTCATCTTTACAGTTCTGACTCTTCCCCTTAGTGATTATCATTTGTTTTCTCACCTAAAGAGATTTTCGGGTAGCCGGTATCTTGGGCACAATCGAGACAAATATGCCATGCGAGCATGACCGAAAGACTGTGGTGAACTATAGCAAAATAATAACAAAACTGGAAGTGTGTCTAAATTCATGTCGTGACTATACAATATAATAATATATATGATACATATGTTCATGATATTATATTATATAATACATACATGTGACATCATTTTGTAATAAACTTATTTTTAAAAGTTCTTAAAGAAGTTTTTTTACATCCAACCAGTTTTTACTTTCTGGACACATCTCATCTATACAGTGGATGATCAAATGAAAATAGAACCACTGAGCAGTTTAATAATGCTGAAAATTGAACTTGACAATGCCAAACACCTCGTTCTATTTCTCACAAGTTCTGCATTCATTTGATCATTCTGTACTTGCAATACTTTATAAATTCCCTATAATTCTACTGAAAAGTATATAAACTACATAATTATCTGTCTACAACAAACATACAATACAAATTCTCTAAAATTTTTTTAATCCCCAATTATACAATGTAATCTACAGAAATTTCTTCCAAACTAAGAAAGTTAGCAACTAAAACTTAGAGGTAATCCAACACGATTGAATATCTAAAACATTAACAGAAAATGAAAAGAAGTAATTTATTATCTGCTTTTACTTGCAAATTATTTTCTAATATTCAAACTGAGACATTATCAACATCCCTTCCAAAATTATTTTTCCATCTTTCGTAATGTAATCTATCAGCTGATGTTTTATATGTGTTAACAAAGAGAACAACTCATCCATACCCCCATATCAAATACCCCTAAGTGTAATATAGTACAACTTCTTCAGATATATTTAAAAAACCTTTTCATTAAGGATAATTGACTTTTTTTGAGACAAAAAATTCAATATTTACTATACTGTAGAGTCCCATACAACGCGGGGATTCGTTACGCATTATAGGAAATCGCATTATCGAAACCTGCATTATAACACGATTTATGAAAGTTTAAACCTTGACCTATAAGTTGAAAATACATTCAAGGGTGTTGCTTGCTTTATTTGTGTGTTGTACGGGACTCTGCTGTATAATTCCAACTATTTAGTACACTTCTACACTTATTAATAAATTTTATATAATTTTAGAATAAATTATTGTTCATTATAATAGTAGGAATCTAAGGATTTATGTCTCAGCTTTATTTCAAATTACCCCAATAAATCTCACTATTATGAAATATCTTAAATCATTACTTCTAATAATATACAATCATCAGGATCATAAATTATTGTGACATCTTCACAATGCCAAGCTGCAATTTTTAATCATATTTTTAATTAATTTAATTTAAAATATATCCTCTATATCAAATTACTAGTATCTTGCCCCTGTACATCATACTTTTCCTTACAACAGCAGAGTCGTGTCAGTCATCTACACTGACATGAAAAACTTAAGCAACGATATAATTTTTAAGCAGACAGCTATGAAATTGTAGAAAAGGGCTTGTTGAGATCGATATAATGAACACGCAATTCAGTAGAAAAGTGATTCGTATGCAGGAAGATGACATCACAGGTGATGTGAGGGCATGCAAAATGTGTGCAGTCAGTGCGTGCAGTGCAAGACTACAATAAGAAGGCTGCTTTGATTTCATACTGTATAAATTCTATTTATTTTTGTGCTAGTACACTTTCTTCATCTTTTAAGTACAAAATACTGTGTTTATGTTTTGAATTTCATGCCTCCCAGATGATTTCTTGCAGAGTTATGGCAAAAAAGAATTGCTGCTTAAGTTTTTCACACCAGTGTAAAATTTTTAAATTCAAATTATGAAACTTCCAGTCCAAACTGGAAGTTCGTATATCGAGGCTGCCTGTCCCTAAACTTTCCACATCTGGTCTCGACTTTCATCTATCTAATACCATTCTCGAGATTAAGGAAGGATTGATGGATGATAGTGGGAATTCATAGATCTAAATTTTTTCAAATTGTAGCCCAATTAACTTTCTAAATGAACTCTAATAATAATAAATTTCTGAATATTTACGTTTTGAAATAAACAAGATTATGTCTACTGCTGGGATATATTGTGCTGTACAGTTTCAAACTCTGATCTTAATCTTTACCATTCACTACCAACTTCCACTATTTCAACATAGTTTACTTACAACCGTCATAGATTAAAAACTAAAGAAAATTATTAAAATACCTCTATCTCCAGAAAATTAGTACTAAAAGTGTATGATATAGTGGCTTTATTCTGTTTACTACATGTTTAATGTTGCATTACTTTCAGAATATGTGGTATAAAATTTATTACTTTTGCTTTAAATGACAGTAAAGAATAGTGTTTTACAGAATTAGTAAATGTTTATTCTATTTTCAACACAAAAATATATAAAATTAAAACATTTACTAACAAAGTTATTATAACATAATATGAGTTATAAAGTCGATTAAATTCATTATACTTTTACTGTTATTAATTATAATATAAATTTTAAACAAAAATGCCATTTATAAAATTGCACAAAATGTGAATATTGACTTCTAATATTTCCGTCGATTAATTTTCCAATAATCAATATGAAAGAAATTCCAAAATATAATTTAAAACCTTCGAGCAAATAAAAAAATATAATTTACTAAGATAAAGTAAAGTGCAAGAGATTTAGTGGGTTGTCGTAAAGAGAAAATAAAAATTTCTGATAGAATCGTTAGTATAAAGCAAATGTATTAATTACTACAACAAGATTTCATTCAGAAACAGGAATCAAACAAGGAATCAAATTTCGAATTTTACAAGTTTATAGATCACTACTTAATGTAAACATAATTAAAGCTATGCGAATGGAAGTTTCGTTTAATACTTTGATATTTATTTATATTTTAGTTTGAATATTTGGTAGCACTAGATCTTAACAGATCAGCAACCAGAGTAATAAATCACAGATAAGTTTGTCTATCTAAGAATTCAAATTGCAAAATATAATTTGATAAAATATTTCTGAAACTATAGAAAGGTTTCGTGTTATTTATTGTATTTATTCCTCACGATCGCTTCATTGGATACATTTAATATTGAACATTTTTAAAATACTGTTGCAAATTTGTTAAGTATAATAATAAAGAAAAAGAAATTTTGTTTTAATTTATATCAATAACAGTGAGTAGCAGCAAAAGGTTTCTAACTAACATGAAACGAAAAGAAAAAAAAAATTAAATAACGGTTCTAGCTCAACTAAAATAAAAATAAAACTCTACCACATCGACAAACTTAAAAAAAGTGTATATTTGAGCTTCGGTTCATCATTCCATCTGGCAGATAGAATACTATTTAGGGAAGGAATAAATCACGAATAGAAAGCTACCGAGGATTACCGGCGCACTTATATATGCATCTTCGTAATTCCTTGGATTTATTCTTAAAACACCCTACAAAAGAGAAAAAAAAAAATTATATGGCATGCATTTATAACCTAGAAATGTGTATTTTCTAGAAAAAACGTTTTGTAGTTTATACAAAGACATATATTTATATCTTACCTCAATTAATTCACCTTTTTTCAAACCTTGTTGGACTTCGCATAATGGCATATAGGCATCGAACTAGAAAATAATTTGAAAATGCATACATTATTAAAATATTTAAAAGCTCTTTCTCTTATAAAAAATGGCTAAATGCCTGAAGATTATTAAAAAATAGAATGAAGCAGCAATCACTAAATGCCATTTTTATATTAATTTAAAAAAGAAAAATATTACTCGTATCCTTAGTTACCGAAGACAATTTAAACACGGAAAAAATTAATTTGAGAGGATAATGACTTGTGAAAATGGATATAATAAACCTCAATATCGTGTTAACATAACATTAACAATGTTATTAAATTGCAATTATTTATTGTGATGTTGTCACAATGCCAGGCTGCAATTGTTCATCACAATGCACTAATAACATCTTAAACATTTAATAGTGTCTTGCCTTCATACGTCATATTTTTCCTGCTAACAACAAAGTCATGCCTGTCATGTATCTAATTCCATATGGGAGAAAATTTTTGAATTGAAATAACATAACTTCTGACCAAACCAGAAATTTGTATACGGTTAATCAGGTCATCCTGTCTGTATCAGGTCTCAACTTTCATCTATCCGATACCATTCTCGAGATTAAGGGAGGACAGACAGACAACAGACGCCAGTGGGAATTTATAGTCCTACGATTTTTTTCAAATTGCAGCCCAATAAAAAAGAAACCTCAATAAAATACGTTTTATTGAGATTTCTTTTTTATTGGGTAAAACAAATTTAAATATTCCTAGAACAGCAGTAAAGTGTTTACAGTTTTTAAGTAAAGAATCTAATTTTCATAAAATATCAATTATAATATTTTCGTCTCTTTATACTTCTGTTTAAATAATATTATAATTATTTTAACTAACCTTATTTCTTTGTATTTTGCCAATTAAGTGTTTGTTAGAATCATAAATAATTAAATTACAATACAAACAGTCTGTATTTTTCTGTAAAACAGTTAATTTAAGTCTACATTTTATTTTTCAAGAATCTCGTAAAAATCTCGTATTTATTAGAATTACTTTAATATAATAATATACATACTTAAACTTAATCTTTAATATTTTTGTAGGTAGACAATAAAAATTAAATATAATTTTATTACCTTAAAATCCTTGGTACTTTTCTGTTTTTTCTGCGCTGCAATACGACTCTGACCTTCTGTTCCTGAGTAATAAACTATAAATTTTAATACAGAACTGTATTATATATGTATGCACATAAATACATTTTTAAAGTAGCATATTTTATTATTTATATGTTTCATTAATAATCTAATGGCATTTGTAAAGAAATAAACGCAAGCAAAAATTAACTGTATTTGACTTTGGTTCGTAAATAGATGATTTATGTATGTATAAATGAGGATTAATTGTATTGAAATTAAGAAATAAACTGCCAAAACTGAAAAATTAATATTTTAGGGTAAATCCTACATAGCAGCATCCAGTGAACACAGACGTGAATGCGCTACTGTGGACAAACTGATAAAGTGAACGTATATGTCCAGAGTAATCACATTTAACATGCAGCAATGTGGTTACCAGACGATGCTTCCATACACACGTGCAGGAATCAGCTACTGAGCAAGTTTGATCATCACTTCCATTGCTTGTGTGTGCTTCCATAGAAAAAGTTTTCTTCTTTGGAAGAAGATGGATTGTTTTTTACTTCACAATACAAATGGTAAAATTCACTGAACTGATGACATTTCTTATAAATACTGTGTCTTTTGCCTGTAAGAATTTTCAGTAATACAGTGTAGAAAACTTTTTTTTTTTGTGGCAAGCATTTAATGAAGTTGTCTCGCTGCCATTTCATAAACAACATGCATCCACTCTGGACAGAGGTCGCTCATGAGCTGGATGTGCGTACAAAGATTCTTTCCGCCTGCAGTCACTGCCAAATAGGATGCAGCCTAAGATGATATTGTAAGAAATTCAAACATTTAATATTAAACTTAGATTTTATTACAAAATCAAATAAAAATATAGAGACGAAAAAGGTGTCATGAATTATTTATCCGTCTTTTTATCTTAAATTAACTTAAGCAAAAGAATAAAAGAATAAAATTTTATAGACAATTAAAAAATCGGTATAAATTATATTACCTTACAATCCTAATAACTAAATATATATAAATGTATTAAAATTATGAGAACACATTGTTATATCTCAAATGGATATTTGCATTATTAAGTCATTTATATATATATACACACACACAAACAGGTCTAAATGTTCCCAAAAGGAACCACATTCGACTGTTAAAACTTTCGACTCTAAAGTGAAAAAAAATTCAATGAGCAGGGAGATCAGAAGCTTTTGGAATTAAATTTTGTTCAAAATTTATACTTCTAGATAATTATTTTCCACAAAATTTTACAACAATTATTTAATAAGGATAGGATATAAGGAATAAAGCAACATAATACAAGAATAACCTGTAAAGGTGAATGCATCCCAAGGGGACTTTATATGAGAAACTTGCTCATTTTTTGGGTTTTCTTCATGTGTCTAACATGCAAAGAAAACCCAGAAAACTCCACTTGGCCAACCTGAGGTTGTTTAAAAAGACAAAAATTTTGGACAAGTTCATTTTATATCTGTATTGTAAATATATCTACATTCTACCAAAAATTTTTATATAAATGATAATGTTCTCTGTTTTATCATATATAACATTTAATTTATCGATTTACTTCTAAGTTAACAAATAATTAATTAAAATCTATAAAAATTTGTGGATCTAATGATTAGATATTTTAGAGCTTTCTCTGTAAAGAGTTTCAAGGAGAACATCTGTATTATTTCAAAAATTCATTTTACAAAAAATTTTTTGGAAACATAGCATTCAATCTTATAATTATAATAAATATTAAAAACTATAATTATAATTTAAGTTTAAAGATTGTTTTTTTGTTGTCATGATCAAATGCAGACTTCTCTAATGACCAAAAGTATTATGTAAAGGAATAGTTTTCCTCTAAAGGATCTTCTGAAAAGAATTCTATCATTTTAAATTATCGTAATTATGTTGATTATTATCCAAGAATATTATAATGTACATTAAAACATTGGAAAACTGCCCAAGCTGACCCATTACAATTTCTCAATGCATGCACCTTGTATCACACATTATTCATCCGACCAATACTCAAATTCTTCTTATGGTCACTATGGTATACTCATCTTCACTCCTCTCACAGAAACCACAATTCTATGGCTCCCACAGATTATACCTGTGTTGAACAGTGACAAGCAATTCTAACTTTGTGGAGTGCAGAACACAAATGCCTTCTCTGTTGCAAAATTGCAATTTTTGTTTACGGCACTTCTTAGAAGCAGTAGACGACAAAACGTTTGTATGCAGATGGAAGGCAAAACTTGGATAATAATTCTCATCGTTACAGTAATGTAAAATGATAGCATTCATTTTGAAAGATCCTGTATGCTTTACTCAATTTTTATTTACTGAAGCTTAACAGTTGTAAAAAATACAAATGTATTCCTGTACTTATTAGTGTAATTTATACAATACCTTTCTTCTTGGATTCTGGTAGAATGTATGAATTTTTTATTACACCGACAGCTTCACCACTTGGTTGGCTTCCACTTCCAGCAGGTGATGTAGCTGAGCCACTTTCGGAACCAGACCTGTATTAAGAACAAATTTTCGTGAATATTTACGAGCAAGTATGTAATATTTTTATTTCACAATAATTAAATAAAAATATCTCTCTCAAAAAATCATGCAATAAGAAATAAAAAACATCTAAGTATAAATATTGATAATACTAGTAACGATAACAATAAACATGCGTGCAAATTAAAAAGTCCTTGCACATTCTTCACCACTTTTATACATACAAAAAGAAAAGTCGGCACATTCAAATACGTATCTTCATACTTACCACATACATTTATGAGCTGCATGTTGCACTCTTAAACCGTAAGGCAGAATGTAACCCTTTTCTGGACAGGAATCAGAGCCTCGTCTTCCCCGTCCTCTAAAAATATTGTATTTGGTAATGTCGGATGACTGCGAGGGCGAACTAGAACCCGAATATCTAAAGCCTTTTAGCTGTTCACCGCTAATACTTTTTCTTAGAATTGCATCACCAGACGGATCGCTGGACGAGAGACGATTGACAGTTTTTCTCGTAGAGGAACTATAAGCTGTGTCCGGCTTCTGAAATACCGATTCGTATCTCGGAGATCTACAAGAAGTTTGAGACGAAGGCCTCTTTATTTCTTTTCCTCTATTCTTGGTAATGTTTGGAGATTTAGTTGCCGCCTGTTTCTTTTTCGAAATCCCTCCAGGTTTCTTCTGTTTACTGCCACACGAGACAGAGATGTCTCTTAAACCATTGTTTATGCCGTCGACCTGGTTATCGGACAACACGGTACATATCTTTCCTTCGTTACTTTGAAAAATTCCAGCCATCTTTTTCCCCCACCATTAGGCAATATTTATTCTGTTTATAACATGGACAAGAATCTGTAATATAATTACAGAAATTGAAATTTAAAAATTCTTGGCCCCGTCGTATCCAACAGTATAAAAATTTGCATGGAAAAAAGGATAATAAAATTAAAACTTGCGCCAAAACGGAATTCCATTTAGAATTTTAAATCAAAAAATAAAGAAAAAAAAGTTAACAGACGCAAAGGATAATTATTCATAAAAATGGCTTGCATTTAACAAAAAAATTATATAAATATACTAAAAAGGTAATTTAAATCTTAAACAGAGATTTCAATTAGGATTCTTCACGCAATTTAATTAAGCCGATAACAAAAAAATTTATCGAGAGAATTAACTGTGTTCTTGTCTGGCTTGGAAGGCAGCCAAAGAGATTTCATTTGATATAATAATAATAAAAAAAAAAAACAAAATGAACCAGCATTAAAATAATATAATATTTTTTGAATAAATTACTTTTATACAAATTATAGTCAAAAATAATTCCAATTTAACATTACATAATTGTATATAATATAACAACATAACATTAAATGAATTCTGCATAACTGCAATCTACTATTTCAGACAATAAACAACATATAATATAATATGGAATAAATGTTTACATTTAATTAAACTTAAATTTTCACGTAATTAATTAATAATATTGTATATTATCATCAGAAATTTGAATTTCTTCCACTGAAAGCGATTTTTTCCGACCAAAGAATCGTGCAAGAATAATAAAAAATATCTAATATAAATAATAAATTTTGTTTCACTTCAATAACTGATAATTTACTGTATTAAAAGCTCCAGCGATTTCATAAAAGAATACGTAAGATAAATAGCATTTCATGTACAAAAAATGATGATTTATAAGCATAAAAACTCAAGAGAATTATATATATAAATATATGTTTTAATCAAAGAAGCATTTTGTTATAATTTATATAATTAAAAACATATTGTGAGCGCAGCTCCATCGACAGGAAGATTTTTATACCAAAATGTAAATACTATATACTCCCCCTTTAAAAATCCATTAGCATAAAATTAATAGAAAAAATAATTTTGGATTAATTTTATATAACAATTCTTTTTTAAATGAGAAAATCCAAACAACTTTTTTTATGGGAGTTTCATTAATTACTACTCGACAAAATACTGTACAAGTAAGAGCTTATAAGTCTCTCGTTACATTTCAATATAACTCAAAGGATTTCTTCGATATAAATATAAATTTCACAAACTATCCGTCTTTCCTTTAAGAACGAAATGTGGATTATATAACTAATCACCAGAAAGAAAACACAGATTAAATTAAACAAGATGGCATTGTTATTAAAATTCTACTTCCGAAATTCATCAAATCTATATTAACGTAGCTGCATGTATTCTTATTTATTTATGTATTTATTAAATAACAAAGCTATCAAATATTAATTTTTTTTTTTGTAATTTTTAATATTAAAGATAAATATCTGATAATTTTTCAAACAAACAGATTTTACATTTAATATTCAACATTATCAAGCAATAAGTTGATTATTTGGTCAATCAATGCTATTAATGTTAAATTTTGTTAATTATCAAGATTTGACTGATAATCGGCTGGTATAATTGATACGTTTTATAACATCGGCCTCATAACGATAAGCGTAAAATCAAAAATTTCAGTTCACAAACTCTAATAAAAATTGAATTTTGAGACTGAATGAACTGCTCTTGTATTCTGTCGGGCAGATATAGTTTGCCTATGATTGTTTCTCTCTTATATTTGAACATAGGACCATATTAAGCACTTTTAAAGACCTACCCAAATTTTCTTTAGAAGCATTTTACGGATGCGGAATTTTAATAAAGGCAACAAATATGGCCGAGTATGTGTGCGTATTAATGTGACTCCATTTGCTTACTGGATGATTATTCGAAAGAACCAAGTATTTTCACTGTATACTAAAGCAGCTATTATCTATATCCTTTATAACATATCCAAAATTTATATGATGTAAACTGAAGCATAGCATTTACTTTTGACAACTTCAAAATACGAATCGATTGACTGGCCATAATCTTGAACGGCATAAGCATTCTTTCAAATGTAAAGATCCTAAAACTAACACACACCTTCTAATTATGCTTTGACAAATTTGTCTGAGTTCATTTCGAAAATCACTTCATGAACAACAATCATAAATAATAGTATTGTAACTACACGTTTCTTTATTCATCACTTAACAGATGAACATTATTGATCCTTCCTTCAAATCAATTTTATTGATTATTGAGTACCATTGTAAATTTCATTTCTATAATCATAACAATTTTCAATATTTTCCCCACTAAATTAAGTTTTGAATTAATTTATTGAAACTTTTATTTAATTCAATTTCATTCCTCCCCCGACTTCAATATTTAGATACATAATATTACAAATTATAATATATATTCAACAAATCTGTTACTTGGAGAGATGACTGCTCTCAAACACTACCTAATATATTAAAACAATATACTTTATTGGTTTAATTAAAATTGAGATCTCTTTGCGTGCTTTAAAATTTAGACAGCACGTTTCCCGAACAGTGAATCAAAAGACGATGACCAGTTTTCTCGTCACTCGGTCTGTAAGACTGCCAAATGTTACATTTAATTTTTTGTCAACAGATATGTGCCAAATTTTTAATTTATTAAATATTCTATATGAAATACATTTTTGAAATACGTCAGAAGATATATTTGACAAAATAACGCTACTAAAACATTCCAGATTTTAAAACTGCTCTATCACAATTGATATTGTAGATTTAGAACATCTATTATCACTGGTTAAACTAAATAATTGCACTTATTTTAATTACTAATAAATGTTAAACAAACAAAGTTTGAATAAATAGAAAAATCTTGTTATTTGTATAAACACACGTCACTTCTAACATAAAAAGTTACATTTCATTTGATTTTTTTAAATAAATCAATATTAAATAATTCCCTGTTGTCTGGCTATACTTGAGATGTAATCAAGTTCTTCCCTATCTCTATCACACCTTATAAATGCCCTAAAAGTGGTAATCTTATACAGGAGATCTACCATTTTTTTTCAGCATCAGAAATAATTAAATAATTCTATTTGATCTGTTTGAGTATTCAGTTTATTTACAAATAAATTCATCTTTTGTTTTCAGTCTGTATTAAATTTACATCACATTTTTGGCTGAAGATACAACTTTTGTTTGCATCTAATTGTGCAACATAATCCAACTTATTTTCATTAATGTCAAAACATGATGCAATCTTGACATGATACAAAAATAGATAAATGTAAAAGCATAATCAAACATGAAGATTTTTAATATATATTTTAATAATAATATATCTCGGAAATAAACTATATATTCGTCACATACAAAATTATTACAGCTTGAACTACTGTGTAAGTGAATTCAAACTGACCTTGCATACGTTTCCAACATTCTTGCTAGAAATGCATGCAAGGTCAGCTTAAATTCACTTATATAATCATCACACATTCACTAAAATAATCCATAAAACAGAAATAAATAGTTAAAAAATATATATAAACTTTTGAAAGGTTTCACTAAGTATAAATATTCAAATATATTTTGTTGTAGAGTTAATAAAAAATTAAAAATTGGCTGAATGTTAATATTTTCCAACTATTTTTCCAATACGAAACAAACAGCAGGGTTCTTTATCAGGCTATAAGGCTAAATAATAACAATGCAATTTTATAAAAGACAGGCTTCCATCTCTTGTTAAATACAATAATCATAAATTGTTTGGTTTCGTAGCCTGATAAAGATCAGACTGTTCGTTTGGTATTTGAAGTACGAGTAACTATTGGATCACTTGTATTTATCATACTTTGTTAATTGGGAAAATAAATGTATTATTTGTACAGTTGGACTTTGTTTCATAGATTATTTATTTTCAAGAAAACATGCTGTTTATGAAATTATAAGTACTAAATATGTTTTGATATCACTAACCAACATCGTTGTCTAGTTAGCTATATATAAATAAATCCAATTAAGTTGTTGTCCAATACTGTACATACCGAACGACCTATCTATCGCCTCAGTTAGGTCATTTCACGAACCAGGACTGGGCTGCAAAGCCGTGCAATAGCAGGAACCAGTATTTACTTAGAGAAAAACAAGGATATCTGGACAAATTTTTTACAAGGTCACTGTGCATTATCAGAAATTATTCACGAACTTTTAAAATCTTCAGAGCCCCGACCGAATACGGCGCGTCTACCAGCCAAGATAAACAAAACGATCCATATATCTAAAAGAGATCGAAACGTAGGCAGACATTCTGTCATTTACCATTCACGACATTCAGAAAGATAAAATCTTCCGACATTCCCCCCTCACCAACTTAAAAGCAGGATGAGTCACAAAAATTTCTATTGACATGTAAATAAAAAATATTTGATAAATTGAAAAATGATCACAAAGCAAAGATTCTCCATTTACAAAAAGAGAGATTTAAAGACTTTTATGATTTATCTTCCATTTATTTTTAAGATTTCCATTTTTTAAGGCAAAAGTTTTTATTACATTTCTCTTTCAAAATTATTTCTGAAAAGTTGAGATTTTTATTAAAAAAAACTTCGATAATAAACCAAAGCGTTTTATTTTACACGAATTCGAATTTAAATTCGAATTCGATTGTAACGTAAATTGTGAATTCGAATTCTAAAGACAATTATGAATTCAAATTTGAATTCACAATTGCCTTTATACACAAACACTACTTTCCTTTGTCATCCCGCATTTTAAATTATTGATTTATTGTCTATGGCAACACACCAATTCATTGTCTTCGAACACGGGACACGAATTTAAATTATATCACCGCTGCCAAATTGTAATATTTGCATAAATATAATAAAATTTTTCCCGTTATTTATTTATGTTCATTTTTATTTTGTCGAGTAAACAAAATTCCAAAATTGAGTTTTGGTTTCATTTTTAAATCGCCGAACCTACGTAACGTTGTACAATATGTAAATGAGTATTGTGTTAATTTTAAAGAACAACAATAGATATAAATGACGAAATATCGCCTTATAAATGTTTTAATAATTAAAATAAAAATAAAATGGTTGGAAATACTTACATTGTACTTTTTTTTATTACTATTAAAAAGATAATACGTCTACGTAGAACGATAAAATGTATTGTAAGAAAACAACTGATCGAACGCCGCTTATATGTCGGAGTGTCTCCTTCCTTTATCTTAATTTTAAAAAATCGATTATATTATATTAATATTCGGCGTTCAAAATAATGTATGAGTATATATTAAAATAAATGAATAGTGCTTTCTAAAAATGTGTGAATTTTATTGATTTTCAAAATTTTAGGTTGTCTTCTCTATAATCATTTTTATTATCTCTTAGCGCCCCTTGGACCCCAAGGGTGGTTTCCTATGTCTATCGTGGGCAGTGGCTTGTTATAGCTGCATAAGGCCCATAAAAATTTTAATTAGGGGCCCCGTGTACAGTATTGATTTTATTCTCGGGGGAATTTTTCGGAAAAATATTTTTTTATAAAAGATTGGTTTGAGCTCAAGGCAATTGCCTTTTTGCCCGTGAGATAACGTGGGCGCACAAACCGGGTAGTGAAAAATCTGACCCGATATACGCGTGACAGGCTGTCCGTAAAGAATTCCCGGTGTTACCTGCCCGCAGTTGATCCCGGATCCCCAGAAAGACACCTGGCCATATTATTCAACTCGGCTCTCTAAAATTAAATCCTGAGTGAGCCATTGCACCAGACGCTTTAGAAAATTATATTTTTGATCGAACCATTGTGCAATTAATCTTGTTTTATAACTTGATACATTTCAGGCTATGTCCCTAGCCGACAAGTAACCTCCAATGGGAGCTTGGCCAAATCCATGATGGTCATGGAAGCCTAAGGGTACATTTACCTTTGTCATCGGTTTGTCTTCATATGAATATAATAAATTTAGATGGGTATTCAAACTAATCGTAAAGCCATGCTTTCATCAAGAATGTAAAACTCTTAAATCGATTAAAATCCGAGTTCCTTAATTAATTAATTTACAAGACGTTAATAGTTTGTTAATAGGAGGGCCCACCAGTTTGCCGGGTAGATAGAATCACCGAACACTAGTAGTTTTTCGAATTTTCTTCACATTTGTAACACCTAAAAGTTTAGTTTCCCATAAAAGTGCTACAGAGAGACATTCCCTCTCGGCAGTTTCTATTTATTTTAAGGTATCTATTTAACCGTTAAATACAGTAGACACCCTATAACGCGGGTTCCTATAACGGAGATTCCTATAACGTGGCGAAAGAATTGCGACAGTATTCGTATAAAGACGCTAAAAGGGACTCGTAAAACGTCGTCGGCGACTCGAGTCGCGACAGGATTGGTCGAATCTGGACCAATAGTGGACGAGCAGCCGAACTACTTTCCGCCGTCCAGCGCCACGCTAATAAGAGTTTAGGCGAGTAAATTAAGTTTACTATCGTCTGTACAGTATTATATATTAATTATATATAAATTAGGTACTGTACATATAATTATATATTAACTTAATTTATTGTAACTTTATTATAATTATATATATACTTTCCGCCGTCTAGCGCTACGGAGAGTTTAGGCGGGTAAGTTGAGTTTACTATCGTCTGTACAGTATGTAAATTAGGTACCATAAGTCTAATACAGTTCTGTAATTTTATACATTTCTTGTGAAAGAAACATTTCTTATTCAACGGCCATTAAAATTATTTATATTAATGATGTCTCCAAAGTTCAACGAATTTTTCGCAGAAAAATAACTTATCAGAAATCGCGGCCGCCGTTTGGTGCGCTGTTCCGCGACGAAAACAAGCTTAAGCAATGGCGACGTCGAATGGTGCACACTCGGTAAGTAATCCTACAATTTTTTGTTTATAGCATAGTTTATACGGATTATTCCCAAAAAATTATACATGTTTTGGAAATGTTGAGTCGAATTAGTCTAGAATTGATTAATTTTATAGAAGAAAACCTTTCAAACAGTCGTAGTCCGTAAACTGCATACGTGCCGGGCTGTGATTGGCTCGTGTATTTAAGGATTCCTACAACGCGAAATTCGTATAACGTGGAACGTATCTACGCGTTATAGGGGGGTCTACTGTAGATACCTTTTATTTTTATAGATTTGAGGAGCTGATTTAATCAAGATTAAGTAAATATCTACTTAATCTTTGCTAAACCAGGCAATTAGGTGGGTATCTAAATAGCAAACAAAGCCTTTAAATTAAATTTATTTCTCTTCCTTCATTTTTTAATTTCAAATTTGCCAACGAAACATTTTTACGCGACACATTTTTCACTTCGACAAATTGTTACATCGAGAACATTGTTGAAAATGTTTGCAATACTGCCGTTTCTAGGGTAATTACCTCTTTTATACAGGAATTTCAACCTCTCAGGTTAATGTTTAGGGAAGTCTTATATTTAGGGTAAATCTAGGGTATAACTATCTTGTGATCTGATATTACTCATCGCTCCACAAGTTTCGCCGGAAAAAGTTTTAGCCTAAAACTGTTGTTTTCCCCTACAACTAGTGGATTTTAGGAGAGGACAACAGAAGCTAAAGAAATAAAGCAGATTGGTTCTAGGTACACGGGTGTACACTGTATATTACACCCTAGTAAGATTTCACTTCTCTCATCCTTCATGCCATTGAGCCATTGACACTTTCCATATCAGATGTAAATTAATACCTGTGATAAAGCCAAAAACTTTTAAGACATTTTAGTTATTAAAATTTTTAAAAACAATAAATTAGGAATTGTTTTGATTATTATTTCGCAATAATAGTACAGAGATCTGCGTCATAGAATCGTTCGTCTTATTATTATTATTTTTTAATCCGAGAATAAGCTCGAAGCTTCGAGAGTTTTCTCAATTCGGGGTAATTTAGAGTGAAACGAAGGTAGTTCCACCAGAAACAGGCGGCAGTACTAGAGCCCTATATAAACAGAGTATGGCCACTCCAACGCGTGGATGCCATCTTGAGGCCAAAGTTGCAGTGTCATAGCACTGTTTAGCATTTAAATGAGCAATGTTTAATAATTTAAATGAGCAGAAATCAGATTCAGAAAGAAATTATATTAAGTTAAACATTTTTAGAAATAATTTTTAATTATGTTCGGAATAATTGTAGTTTATAAGTGATGGACAAAATATATAACAATAACAGGGCTAGAAGCANATAGTCGCATGATTGTTTATGGTGGTTGACAACTGGGTATTTCTTCATCAAGAACTTCACAAATATGGCAACCGCAAAAGAGAGACCTGATGTGTGTTTTCAGTCATGGACATGTCACAAAAAAAGTCATGAACTCCAATACTCAACCACCATGGTCAAACATGCAAATTTATAGTCATTATATCCAGTAGTCTACAACCTCATTATTTACATATTAGATCAGAATTGACTAAAATTGTTAGTTATGGCAGATGCTTTGATAGCTTACCACCCAGGAAAACAATTAAGCAAGCTCAATAATAGGCATTTCGTAAAAAATACACATCTGAAATACAGAAGCTTTGTTATTTTTTAAAGACCTGACAATGCCTTATATGGTCAAGTACCAGAACAATAATTTTTCCCCATCCCTGTGAGTGAGACAACCTGTTATTCTTACGTGCCATTGAGAATGGGATTGTCTTATGGTGCTTCCTGTAAAGTTGGCTCACCTAAACCTGTTCAGATGGACTACTACAGGGCTTCTTAAACTATGGGTCGCGACCCCATTTGGGGTCGCTTAGCGAAATCTTGGGGTCGTGAGATTTTAATGCAAAATATTGAAAATAATTTGTGAGAGTTTGAAAATGGCACGCTTTGTGTCATATGTTTCGTGAGTTGCGCTTCTGGTGTATGGAGACAACGATACAGCAACACTGATTGTAGTGTGAACTGGTGCATTATTGTCGCTTTTCAGTGTATTCAGTTGTCTCTGTTCTATTGTAACACAAGAGTGAACTGTGGTAGTACACCATTATTGTTTTTGCAAATTTGTATATATCTTTATATTTTTTTTGGGTCGCAAAAAAATCACAATCATAAATGGGGTCGTGAATAAAAAAAGTTTAAGAAGCCCTGGACTACTATATGGACAACTACTGGAAGCAGTT